AACAGTGACGTGAATATATTCCTGCACTGTTCTCTACAACTGAACTCGGCGGTTCCATGAGAAATGTAATCAGAATACACATTTGGATTGATATATAAAATTTCGATTTATCAGTATATATATAGTAAAGCTGTCCCTGTAACAGGCCGTGGAAGCCCATAAGGTTGTGAGACGTCGAGGCTCCCACATTTTCTAGACAATCGGCTCAAGAGATGGTGGTGAGATTGTCAGTCTTACGCGCCGGTTGTCCCTGTGCTTAACTAATTAAGCATTACGGCATGAAGGCGTATTTGGGAGTGGATGTGTAGATCCACATTTTCTTGACCTCACTATTTGGAGGTTAGTAGTCAGCTTCACGCCCTGGTCGCTTTATCTCCGGTGAAGGGCTCCCGGTACCAGTTGCACAGAAAACTGGGCCGATCCGGATGCTGCATGAACGCTATGGAGAAAATGAAAACTTGCCTCTGCCGGGAATTGAATACAGGCCGTCCAGCCCGTAGCCTGTCGCTATACCGTCTGAGTTAGTCCGTATAGTTTCAGGAAGTAATGAATATGATATGCGTTCCGGAACCCTTCCTCTTCTCTGGTTTCTGTATGTATCGACCCTCCGTTTTGCATAAGGCGTAGGTGGGTGGACAGTAGTAAAATGGATCTCAGGGAGGTAGGATGTAGTAGTATGGATTGGATTGATCTGGCTCAGGATAGGGACCAGTAGAGGGCTCTTGTGATCACCGTAATAAACTTTCGGGTTGCATAGAACGCTGGGAATTTTTTGAGTAGGTTTGAACTGGCGGTTTCTTAAGAAGGGCTAATCTCCATGAGTGAGAGTGAGGAGTAGATGGGATTATAATATTAAAATGGATCTTAGGGAGGTAGGATGTGGTGGTATGGATTGGATTGATCTGGCTCAGGATAGGGACCAGTGGAGGGCTCTAGTGATCACCGTAATAAACTTTCGGGTTGCATAGAACGCTGGGAATTTTTTGAGTAGGTTTGAACTGGCGGTTTCTCAAGAAGGGCTCAGCTCCATTAAGGCATGAATACATTTTCACGTCGGAAGCTTCTCAGAAACGGGGAACTACTTTCTGGCTCTTGCGTAACATTTTCAAGTCATCCAGTTGAAGGTTAGTCATTCAGTCAGTCACAGCTGGGCCATCCGGGATTCGCTTTGATGTTGTGAGGAGAGGCCCGAAACACAGGGTGAGCAATATCTTGTTGCATTGAAGTTTCTGTCCTGTTGGTCGCAAGTGAGAAGTACTTGAAACCATACATCGATTTACGTAATTGAAATAACACGGTTAGAATTATAATTATGGGCATACTGTGATATAAGAGAAAGATTTATTTATTCATATGCCTCATGAAAATTAAGAAGTCACAATAATTGACTCGCAGAAAACTTCTCAGACGCAAGTGCAATTTACGTTGTCTATTTTGATGCGAATATCAGCTAGCATTTTCGGGATATATTTACATATCAGATCATTTCTTGGAAATGTAAGTTTACTGACCTGATGCAGTGTCTGTACAGTTTAAAACTTTTGCTCTAAATCAGAATGAAGCATTGAAACAAATGTAGTACCGAATTTCAACATCCTGTTGCACTTTACACATTTTAGTCCCGATGAGGTCATTGGATTTTTCAGTTGACCTAATCCTTCCAGCCGCACTAGGCCCTGGTGTTTACTCAGCCTCTAGCAGTAATTAATTAAATAATTTTCCTGGGGAGTAAAGCGCGGCCGGCGCGTAAGGCTGACAAGCTTACCGCCATCTTTGAGCCGATTGTCTAGATAATGGGGCAGCCTCAACGTCTCACAACCCTATGGGCCTCCACGGCTTGGTACAGGGGTAGCTTTACTTTTCACTTTTACTTTACTTCCTTCTATAATGTAACTTTGTTTACAATTCCTCATTGATTAAAAAGAATATTAAAATTACAGTTAAAACTACATGTTCCGTCCTTACTTGACCATCTTTAGCAAACCGTTTATTTGTTGAAATTACTACACTGCCTTAATTCTTAAGTTAAAATACATTAAAATGCATTTGCTTGAGAACATCAACTATTTATCTTTCCTTGTATTACATTCGTCTTGCGGCGTCTGTGTTTCTTTTTGTATTGTTTTATTCAGCCCCGTTAATTTGGGGGTGTTGGTGGTATTCTTGTTATTTGCATGTGCCCCATTAGTATGCATGTTCCCACGCTGTTGCTCTAGTTGAGTGTATGAAACAACATGGGAATATTTTAACTTAAGGACTAATGCAATGTCCAGACCGGCTCTGTGGTCCACTCAACCTCATATCCAATGGGTAAGGGGGCTCTTTCCCCGGGGGTAAAACGGCCGAGACATGAAGCTGAGCACTCACTTACAGCTAGTACCGAGGTCAAAAATATGTGGATATATACATCCACTTCTCCCATACGTCTTCATGGTGTAGTGTGTAATTGGTTAAGCACAGGGACAACTTCAACTTTTACTAACGCAGTGTAGCAATGTCAACAAGTGAACAATTGCCTGAGGATGGACAAGTAAGGCCGAAACATGTAGAAGATTACTTGTAATTTTAATATTATTTTAATTAATTTTAACCTGAGTTAACTCCAAGGAGTACAACCATTAGCTTAATGCTAACTCAAAGTTTTCTTTTTTTTTCCTTGGCACTACAGCCCCAGTGGGCCTAGGCCTACCTCCATGAACTTCTCCGTTCACTTCGGTTTTTCTAGATCTTACACATTCGGTAGGACTCCTTGGGCGGGTGATCAGCTCGTCGCAAGGCCTCTACCTGTACACAAACACAGAAAAACCCACACACACACAAACTAAACATCCATGCCCTGAGTGGGATTCGAACCCACGATCCCGGTTTTCAAGCAAGCGAAGACAGTACACGCCTTAGACCGCTCGGCTACCGTGACCGGCAACTCAAAGTTAACCAGGAGGAAAACACCAGTTCATCTAGTTCTAAAGAGCACACCAATTAGTGTAAAGCTAACTGACAGATCGAACCCATTACTCTGATACTAACTCCTACACGTTCGTTTGTGTAAAGGTGCTTAATAAACAGCTGCATTTGTTGCGAATGCATCAGATGCTCCCGCTGAGCTGAATGTGTAAATACTTGCCACTCCTCAAGAGAGTTGCCTGTTCGCGCATCTTCTGTTCTCTTGATACTGATGCATATGTGTTGATGCAGTGGGGATCTTAGAGAGATAGGATGGAACGGGGTGGATTGGATAGGGACCAGTGGGGGGCTCTTGTAAACACTGTAATGCACCTTCGGTTCCATAAAATGTTGGGAAATTCTTGTGTAGCTGCAGGTTTGGCTTCTCCTGAAGAAGGGCTCAGCTCAATGAGTAAGTAAGTTCGTGAACAATTCAGGTATAAACGCCTGACGAACTGGCAACGTAAGGCTCAGTTCTTTCTTGGGGGCCAACAGTTGCATCTCGGCTTGAGAAATTCTTAACAATTTAAGCAATCCGAAAGTTCATTACCATGTACACAAAAGCCTGCCAATGATGCCTCTCCTGAGCAAGAAGAATCCAGTCTACATATTCCAATCCTATTTTGTAAGATGTATTTTAATAGTATCCTCCTGTATATATCTTTGTAATCCTAATGGACTCTTTCCTCCTGGTATTTCTATTCCTATTAAGACAATCTGGATGTTAGAGTGTAACCGGATAATGAATATACGTCCCTATATGCTAGTGAGTGACCCAAGCAGCAGTGCAATTTACCGCCTTGTTATCCGTCATTACAGCCCTGCCAAATTTGAAGTTTATTTATAAAAGCAAGATCCAAATTGTAGCATTAGAATTCGTCTCCAAAAAGTTGGTCTTTCTGTTTCTGTTCTTAAGACGTTATGCCTTTGGTACCGTTTTGAAAATTGTAGGCTTCGGTTTCATCTTTAAAAATAAATATCCGAAAAATTTCTAATATAGGCTTCTGTTGTTTTTGTTTTTTTTTCTTTTTTGTAGATGAGGTTCTGAAGTTGGCAGCGCTAACGTGACACAAATTATACCCATAAAGTTTTAAAGTTACTCCGGTAACAATTTAACAGGGAAATAGCGAGAGAGCAAAAAAGCACAAAAGCCCAAAATGTTGTATTACAATATTTATATTGTTTTTTATTACTTCAGATAACATCATATCGAAATATTTCATAATATTCCACCATAATTATTGGCGGGGAAGTCGGAAGGAAAGAGACCACTAAGAAGTCCAAGACACTGGTTAGTGGATAATATTAAAACGGATTGTAGAGAGATAGAATGGGATAGTATGGACTGGACTGCTCTGACTCAGGATAGGGGCTAGTAGAGGGCTGTAGTGAAGACGGTAATGAAACTTCAGGTTCTCTAAAAATTTCGGAATTTCTTGAGTAGCTCAACAACTGGCGGGTTCTCAAAAAGGCTCAGCGCCGTGAATTTTGTTAATATAAAATATGCACATATAACCCAAGTGGATCCCTTTTCCTGCTTGATGAATACATCTACTGTGTCTTGACAAAAGGAGGTTTAAGCATATCAGATTATTTCCTAGGAGAGGAGACATAATTTAGGGGCCCATCATATTTTGAACATGTAGAGAACAAAGATAAATTAAATTGCCATTTTTTTCCAGCATGTCGATTTCAAGCAATCCTGAATCACTTTACGACATGGCGGTCACAACGTTGGCTGGTTACGTTAGATATTTCACGAGGTGGACCATCATGCTTTGCAAGCAAAACTACGATGAACGTTGCCGACTCCTCCAAGAACTGCTCATCATTTACCTGCCTTGCGACAGGGTTAGAGACATATCAGTTGTTCTCATAAGACAGGTAGCTCAGTGTTACAGTGACCTGAAGAATGACACAGTGTTCAGAAATGCGTGTGCGGAAAGAACACCTCACGTTCTCAGATCCGTGTTACATCCCTCAGTGAAGGGACTGGAAGGTATTCGCAACACTTCACATCCAACCATTCTTGAGTATTATAAAGTTACAAACTGTGATTTAATGTATACAGCGTTGCCATTGTTGCGTGACCTGAAAGAGGTGAGCCTCGGTCCAGCCAACAGAACTGATGACGTGCCTCTGGATGTACAAGGTTTCAGGGATACTCTGGAGAAGTTCGCATCCCGTAGTTGCAGGGACAGTGACTTGGAAGAGCTCGCTAACAATTGCAAACGTCTGAGGTGTTTAGATATCAGCGATTCTCCTGATGTCTCGGATGCGATTGTTGAACATATCTTAAAGTTTGAACATCTGGAGGAGCTGAATTTGTGCGAAGTCAGTTTCTTGTCTGAAGAAGCTCTGGGACGCCTGCTGGAAGGCCTCTGTGACGTGCAGGTATTTCGATGTGGTGATACTCAGAAAGATCTTGAGAACCTTCTGGGCTGTGGTAAGGACACGGCGAAGGATACAGGAGCCTCTTCAGTGAGTAGTCCGTCTCCCCGTTCGCAACGGTTGAAGATCTTCGGATGTGCGGATCCAAGAAAACAACACATCGATCTAATCGCACAGTTTTCTAACCTCACTTCGATTTCCTTGTCACAGGTGAACTACCCGTTAACACTACTGAAGGACCTAAAATATTTAGTAATTTTTAAGATCTCGAACTCCAGATTCATGTATGTAAATGAGCTCCTAATAGCTGTAGGAAATAGATTGAAGTGTCTAAATATCGTAAATGTTCTTTGCACAGATTATGATTTTCTTAGAGCGAATTGTGTGTCTCTGATATGCCTTCATCTTTGCTTTAAGGCAAGAAGTGATCTTATTTTGCCTCCCGATTACAGTGAGGCAAGGCCAGCTCCCCCAGACTTTCCGAAAGTTGAATTCCTTCAACTCTATATACGTGAACTGCTCGCTGCAAAATATATTTTATTTGGTTTCAAAAAGCTAACGAGATTCAACCTTCAAATCGAAGTTCCTGATTATCGAATATATCTTGAGCATATATTAGACCGTGGTGATAAGGTACATTTGGAAGAAGTGTACTGGAAGAATGTCGTAATAAAATTTTATCCGAACGTGTTCACTATCACCACATTTCATTCTGATGGCACAAAAACTGTCCACAATGTTTTGGAGAGGACTGAAATGGCATTGCGAAATCGAGAAATGAAGGAATAACCATTCCGATGTACAATGTTGCACGCCATGTTTAAAGAACTCGCTGTCATATATTTCTTTGCCTCTGGAGCGAGTGAAATATAACTTGAGATGATGGAATATTTTAAGACTTAAAGCGAAAGAGTGCGTAGATACGTACGTATGTTTTAAAAAATGTTTTGAATAATAAAGAGAGATGATATTTGTAATTGAGATGCCTTGTCAAAAGCACGGAGGCCATTCATATCGATAAACTTCCTCACTATTCTGCTTTAATGTCCATTATATAAAGGCATACATGGCTACTGTAATTCAATTTTAAATGTGTTGGACAAGCCGTGTCTGTTTGAATGAGAATTAAACTTTTGGTAAAGAAGCAAAATTTTTTATTTTATCTGGATATCATGATTAGGTTTTCCTGTATGAAATGAAGCTGCTTGCATATTCAGTTGCTTTTGTTTCCACATTTTCTACCTATGAAGCAATATGATTCTGAACATAAGCTTCTTACGAACGATCACAAGACGCCTCAGACCTGGACGGATTCCTTGAATAAACGAACTAAGCGAAATCTTCTGCTGTCTGAAAACAAAAATTAGAGTATACAAAATTATAATTTTTCCTGTGGTTCTGTATCGGTGTGAAACTTGGTCTCTGACATGAAGGGAGGAACATACACTGAGGGTGTTTGAGAACAGGGTGTTGAGGAGAATATTTGGACCGAAGACAGATGAAGTGACAGGAGGTTGGAGAAAACTGCATAATGAGGAGCTGCATAACTTGTACTTTTCTCCAAGTGTAATTAGAATCGTCAAGTCAAGGGGGATGGGATGGGCAGGACATGTAACACGAATTGGGCGAAGAGGAATGCACATAGGTTATTGGTGGGAAAGGAAGGAGGCAAGAGACCACTGGGAAGACCAAGACGTAAGTGGGCAGAGCATATTAAAATGGATCTTAGAGAGATAGGATGTGGTGATATGGATTGGATTGATCTGGCTCAGGATAGGGACCAATGGAGGGCTCTTGTGATCACGGTAATAAACTTTCGGGTTGCATAGAACGCTGGGAATTTTTTGATTAGGTTTGAACTGGCGGTTTCTCAAGAAGGGCTTATCTCCATGAGTGAGAGTGAGGAGTAGATGGGATTATAATATTAAAATGGATCTTAGGGAGGTAGGATGTGGTGGTATGGATTGGATTGATCTGGCTCAGGATAGGGACCAATGGAGGGCTCTTGTGATCACGGTAATAAACTTTCGGGTTGCATAGAACGCTGGGAATTTTTTGATTAGGTTTGAACTGGCGGTTTCTCAAGAAGGGCTCAGCTCCATTAAGGCATGAATACATTTTCACGTCGGAAGCTTCTCAGAAACTGGGACCTACTTTCTGGCTCTCGCGTAACATTTTCAAGTCATCCAGTTGAAGGTTAGTCATTCAGCCAGTCACAGCTGGGCCATCATCTGGGATTCGCTTTGATGTTGTGAGGAGAGGCCCGAAACACAGGGTGAGCAATATCTTGTTGCATTGAAGTTTCTGTCCTGTCGGTCGCAAGTGAGAAGTACTTGAAACCATACATCGATTTACGTAATTGAAATAACACGGTTAGAATTATAATTATGGGCATACTATGATATAAGAGAAAGATTTATTTATTCATATGCCTCGTGAACATTAAAACGTCACAATAATTGACTCATGGAAAACTTCTCAGACGCAAGTGCAATTTACGTTGTCTATTTCTATGTGAATATCAGCTAGCATTTTCGGGATCTATTTACATATCAGATCATTTCTTGGAAATGTAAGTTTACTGACCTGATGCAGTGTCTGTACAGTTTAAAACTTTTGCTCTGAATCAGAATGAAGCATTGAAACAAATGCAGTACCAAATTTCAACATCCTGTTGCATTGATATATCACTTAAACCCTTACTTCCTTCTCTAATGTAACTTTGTTTACAAATTCTCATGTAGTTAGTTAATCTATCATAATCAACTAAACCAGAGCGTTAACTGGAATCATGTAGGCGTAACCTACTCTTTATACTATTATGAGTTGATAGGTTTAGGCTGTGTGGCTAAACTGGATTGGATAGAGCAGGCTGAGAATCTGGTCTAAATGAGGCTCTCGTTTTAGCAATGATGCTACCTTAGACAGAAGCTGTCCGCATAAAGTAAACAAACATGATCAAGCGTGCATATGACTGGTACATGCGCACTGAATCATAAACCGCTTGGATTGCACAGCAGGAGCTGCAGTTGAAACGGCCCACCTTACGTAAGGGCGGGTATCGCTTCGGTGTTCTGTACGTTATTCAAATTTATATTTGCTATAAATTCTGTTATTCTCTTTAGGAAGCTGTTTTTCCGGGACTTCCTGCTCGGTATAGCAGAGACTTTGCTTTATTCAACGTCTGTTTCTAAAGTAGAAATACCCCTCTGCTAGAAGCGCTTCAGCTGTTGATATTGTTTGCAGGGATGTTGACGTATTTAACAAAGCTTATTTTATAGCGGTTCTTTGTTCTTAATAAAATATTAATTGAATTCAATATGAATATATGTAGGTATATTTATTCACGCCTCATAATGGTTACTGCGTCTGAAATTGTTATAATTGTCCAAGGGACTTGTTTCGATTTGTGTGTACGTGTTTTTATGAATCCAGTTTTGCTGGTGCTTATTTTATAATTGGTCTTGTAAAACTTAAATTGTTCCTCCCTGTCGTATTTTATATATTATTCATAGTTCTTCCGGTCACTAAAATATTGATTTTATTGTGGTCTAGTGGTCAGAGTTCCTGGTTACAGATCCAGAGGCCGCCGGTTCAATTCTTGGCGTTAACAGAGTTTCTGAGAAGTAGTGTGGAGTCTGGAACGGGGTCCAATCAGGCTCGTGAAAATAATTGAGGAGCTATTTCAAGGAAATAGTGGCTCCAGTCTAGAAAACCGAGATTAACTGCCGTGGGGATCCGTTGCGCTGACCACGCGACACCCACTATCCACAAAAACTGGCCATAACTTCACCGACAAGCGGCGGTCACTCTGTCGGTATAGTTCACTTGCGGACTACAGACCACGAAGTTATGGATTGTAAATAAATAAATATATACATATATATATTACTTTCGTCAATTCTTAATGATATATTGCATTTATGATAATGCAGTCATTCTTATTATTACTATCATCACTGAAATCATATAAATTGCATGCTTCTTAATTTGTGTCTTTCTTTTCCTTTACTCACTACAAGTTTGAATTTAGCCTTCTGACTGGTTATGATTAGACGTAAATTAATGATGGGTGAATTGAAATTTGAAAAGAAAGATCCATTTGTTAAAGAATTAAAAATAATAATCTCGTCGTCGGCTTCGTCTTCTCATAAACTTTATGAACCCTATTGAAAATTCCGTTCTAATTGTGCTTGCTAGACAAAACCACCCGTTGACCAGATTTATTTTTATTAATATAATATATGCACATATAACCCAAGTGGATCCCTTTTCCTGCTTAATGAATACATCTACTGTGGCTTGACTATAGGAGGTTTAAGTACATCGGAACATTTCCTAGGAGAGGAGACATAATTTAGGGGCCCATCATATTTTGAACATATAGAGAACAAAGATAAATTAAATTGCCATTTTTTTTTTCCAGCATGTTGATTTCAAGCAATCCTGAATCACTTTATGACATGGCGGTCACAACGTTGGCTGGTTACGTTAGATATTTCACGAGGTGGACCATCATGCTTTGCAAGCAGAACTACGAGGAACGTTGCCGACTCCTCCAAGAACTGCTCATCATTTACCTGCCTTGCGACAGGGTTAGAGACATATCAGTTGTTCTCATAAGACAGGTAGCTCAGTGTTACAGTGACCTGAAGAATAACACAGTGTTCAGAAATGCGTGTGCGGAAAGAACACCTCACGTTCTCAGATCCGTGTTACATCCCTCAGTAAAGAGACTGGAAGGTATTCGCAATACTTCGCATCCTACCATTCTTGAGTATTATAAAGTTACCAACTGTGACTTAATGTATAAAGCGTTGCCATTGTTGCGTGACCTGAAAGAGGTGAGCCTCGGTCCAGCCAACAGAACTGATGACGTGCCTCTGGATGTACAAGGTTTCAGGGATACTCTGGAGAAGTTCGCATCCCGTAGTTGCAGGGACAGTGACTTGGAAGAGCTCGCTAACAATTGCAAACGTCTGAGGTGTTTAGATATCAGCGAATCTCCTGATATTTCGGATGCGATTGTTGAACATATCTTAAAGTTTGAACATCTGGAGGAGCTGAATTTGTGCGAAGTCAGTTCCTTGTCTGAAGAAGCTCTGGGACGCCTGCTGGAAGGCCTCTGTGACGTGCAGCTATTTCGATGTGGTGATANTTTTCTAACCTCACTTCGATTTCCTTGTCACAGGTGAACTACCCGTTAACACTACTGAAGGACCTAAAATATTTAGTAATTTTTAAGATCTCGAACTCCAGATTCATGTATGTAAATGAGCTCCTAATAGCTGCAGGAAATAGATTGAAGTGCCTAAATATCGTAAATGTTCTTTGCACAGATTATGATTTTCTTAGAGCGAATTGTGTTTCACTGATATGCCTTCATCTTTG